ATTTATTTGGGGCCAGTTACTGTGCTGATGCTTGTTGACTCACCGACAATCTTCGGGCGAGGCGAGGCCCAGAAAGAAAGGGCCCGCAGGGAGGCCCGAGTGGTCACTGCAGAGGGAGTGAACCCTGAGAGGCTCTTTGTCAGGATGTGGGTTACTTGGGGGCAACCAGGTACCAGAGGAGGCAGAAGCTGGACCTGGACAGACGGATGAGATGCAGGTGTCCCAGGACCACTGGTGACCTTTTGAATGTTTATAAGTCATTTGAAAAGACATGTGTCCTTGCTCTGAAGTTTTTCATCACTCATGTACAGTTAGTAAATGTAACTGGGTTTAGATTGATAATGTTTGAGGTAGTAATTTGTCTTTTCTTTTTCCTTTACCCTTGTTCCTTCAAGAGAGAGCAGGTAACCATGTTTTCGGTTTTTGCCCAAGGAAGAGTTTTGTAGCAAGGCAAAGAAGTTGTTCCAAACATTTCTCTTTCTGCCTTCTTTAATTTTTCTTTTTCTGGTACTGGGTACTGAACCCAGGGGTTCTCTACCCTGAGTTGCATCCCCAGTTCTTTTTGTTTATTTTATTTTATTTTATTTTATTTTAAGAGAGGCTCATGGTAAGTTGCTGAGGCTCATCTCAAACTTGCCATCCTCCTGCCTCAGCCTCCTGAGTAGCTGGGATCACAGGCACCTGCCAGTGCTTCTGGATGATTTTAGTCCTCATCCCAAAGAAGGAGGAATGCAGTTTGTGGGTCCTGGAGCATGAGGAGTAGCAGAATCCCTGGGAGCATATATATGGGCAGATGGCCAATGTCACAAAAGATCCCAGGAGACAGGACTTAGTGTTGTCTCCACTTTACAGATGAACACTGAGGCAAAATGGTGCCGGGAACAGGATGAGACGTACCCGTGGCATTGTGGAGGCACGTCTCCTGGAGATGCTCATCCGTGGATTCTGATCCTGGGTATCTATCTAGGCTGGAGGTCTCACTTTTCCTAGAACCAGAATTACTCACGATGTAAGTTTCTCCATCTTGTTTCCTCCTCTGATTCTTATTTAAATTAAAGGGTACAAAGAGAAGGATAGATCATTCTGGAAGGCTTAAATTTCATCTAAATGTTATGTGTGTGATCCAAGTAGAGGAATTATGTCCTCAGACTCACATTTATCTTGTGGTCACTTTGGGCCCTCAGATTCATTTTTTTTTTCAATAACTGCTCATGTTTGCCTTTTTTTATTTTTGTTTCCTTAGATGACTGGCTAGTAACCTTCCATGGACCAAGCATGGGCGGGGCATACCTGACATGAAATAAAACAATACATTTACGGCGAAAAAAAAAAACACTTCACTTCCTATTCCTTGAAGCCAATTTTAGCTGATTTCTAACCAGTGAAGTAATATTTTACTTCAGTATTGTTTACTCGTGTATCTCAATACCAGGCTCCACTCACTCAACAAAAATCCTTGGAGCCTTTAGTGGGCTTTGGACTCTGTTATTGTGTACTGGGGGGTAGAGATTC